TACATCTGAACTCTGATCAGTCAAAGAATCATTCAGACCAATAATATTGATATCGCCACTTAGTAGATGAGAAACTGCATTTTAGACATGTTGATCTTTTCAGTGCAACTGAAATCAGTCAGTGTATTTAATATCTTCTTACTAATGAAGTAACTTGTATAAAGTTTCTTCTCACACTTTGAAAGTGATCCCAACTGACATCGCACTTATTCTCAAGGTTCATGAAAATCTTCAGTGTGTACTAATTATGTGTCAATCAACTTTTGGCTGTTTTCATTTAATTAGTGTGACAAACTGATATGTACTGAGGTTAAATTTTGTCTTTTTAGTTTACCATGTATTTGAATGTAGGAACTTGGGGTGTTTTCATTTCTCAATGACCTTAGCCATCAAAGTTCTCGTGGTTCAGTAGCTTAGTGAACAAGCTCTGGATTTTAAAACTACCGAGAAGTTTTAGTAGGAGCACCATCCATCATCATCCACTAGGAAGCATACACTTCTAGTTGATGAATCGCAAATGAAGCGGAAAGAGCGCTTCGAATTCGACTGCTAGCCACTGTCAAATCACATCAAATAGTAGCATAACACCTTCAACGCACCATCGTCTACGTGTGTTGTTCAACGTATAATCGTGTTGGAAAATCCGTCACGAATTACCTGCCGATATAAGAATAGAACCTGTGCACTGTGGTACAGTATAATTTCATTGTGGATAAAGTTTATTTTGATAAAGTCTCATAGTGTTATACAGTAATATTTACTGATGACATTTCGAGCACATTTTATTGCTCATAATCATATCATATATGAATAACATATTGGTTTCATAAACTCATAAATGGATGCTGATAATACTCCCTTTTGGTTCAGTTTTTTAAGGGAGTCCGTCATTAGTTTCCCTACTTTTATATTGAGATCTTTGAAATTAACATGAGATTGGAGTTTAGTTTAATCATTCAGAATACCTTCCATTTTCTCAACGTAATCACTTCTGTCCAATAACACTACCACCACCTTTATGCAGCTAGGATCTCACTTTTTCTAGCATTTGAAATGCCCAGCGAAGTCTCTTTTCGGGGAATTCACTCACTCAGCTGTATAATACTGTTGTTTTTTTTTCAAAGAAAGGACTTTCTCATCGCCAGTATTAACTGAAACAAATTGAGTGAAACGTTCGTCTTACTGAGTGACTTCTACACAATCTTCACTTATTCATTTACGAAGGTTAATGTAGGTTGGAGTAACTGTTTGCAGTTTAACTTCTGATCTATCGATTTAAACAAGCTAAAACTAACAAGTTGGTAAAGGAGGAGGCAGCGAAGAAAGGAAACAAGGTGAACATAGAGAAGATAGATGTGACAAAGATACATGACCACCACCACCACTACCGACCACAACAGCAAGCACCAATCACAATCAACGGGAAGGATGTAAAGGAACTAATCTCTTTCACTTACCTGACTGACTAGTAAGTAGGTCAGCATCGTTTCGATTACAGGTGAGCATCACAGATGAGAATGTCACGATCAACCAGGATCGGATAGGGATAGGGAAAGCAAAACAGACGTTTATTGTTCTAAAACTAGCGTGTAGACCTCCAGGACTCAACACAACGAACACCACCGAAACTCTTGACACTAATGTCACGTCACTGCTTTTGTATGATTCAGAGACTTGGCGCTGTCTTCACGAAAAGCATTTCCGTCAACGAATGCCTTCTCCGGCTCGATACTTAACATCACATGGTTGACTGTTCAGAAAGTATAATCAACAAGGGACTTTGACAGGCACAAAACCAGCTAAGAACCTATTGTTTAACCAGGAAATATGGAGAAGGGACTGGATATGCCTTAGACATATGCGAGGTGACCATTGAGCGATATCATGTGGCAGATTGTTGATTGGTAGCTGAATGGAAATCGATGGGTTTGGCGTCCTAGGGTAGCATGGAAGAAATGGAAGTTTGTGATCTGTCAAGTAGCCAGCTGCAAGTGAGTGTGATGGAGGTGTGCTGATGAAGTCCTGTGTTCAATTCAGAACTCAAGGAACGAAGAATAATGACGATACAAAATAAAGGAGATGAACTCATTATTCTTTCAGAAAAAATTATATATGGCAGCAGTAGTGTGACATTAAGTCTGTGCCTGGGTCCGATTAGGAAAACCAACCCAAAACCTATAGAAGTGATTTGTGCCAGAATGCCACAATTTACCTGCTAATGAATGTTTGCATGACAGTCAATCAAGCGTCAAAATCTTATGAAATATTAAATGATAGTAGTCTGAAGTCAGAACTATACATTATTGTCTTAATTCGATAGTAATTTTGATTTTCAAGTTAGTAAACAAACAAATAAATACGTTTATCTTCTCACAGTGTGTAGGTAGCACAGTGGTAGAATGCTCGCCAACCACGCATGTGGTCCGGGGTTCATCCTCGGTCGACGCACTCCTTTACCTCGCTAAGGCAGCGATAAGACTAGTAAAGAGTGGAGGTTGGGTGTGAGGCTAACAACCTCATCCCGTAAAAATAAAAACACCACTGCCACCGAAACTTCAAGCCCCCAGCTTGAAGCCCTATGTTGCACTGGGAACGTAAGGGAATAAAAAGTTCTCTCACCGCGTGTGTGTAGGCGCAATTTAACTCATTGTCCATCGAAAAACGACTGGAAGTGTAAATTGATGGGTTCGATTATTTTTATCGGAAAACACTGATGCCTCTCTGAGTGTCTTCTTTTTTATTACACAATGAAGACTTTTCACTTAATTTGGAGCAACAACGACCCTGTTAGGATAACAGAACTGTATGGATTTCTATTATTCCGTCAAATTTGGAACGAACAATGTGCTGCGCTAACTGCAACCTGTATATAGAATCACTTAGGAACAAGAAGCAGTGATGTGTTATCACAATAATCGAAGTTTAGGCCGATGGTCCCACTATGCGAAGAGGACAGGTTGCTACCTTCCTATTGTCCTCTCACCAATAGTACTATTTCACAAACAGTTCCTCCGCTTTTTCACAACTCTGTAACCACTATTAACAACTCTAGCCAGAGAAACACTATCCCTAGTTTCTTAGACCCATGTTTCTAACTTCATATCAGAGCTTTCTTTATCCAAACTTTGTGCTAAGTAGACACAACTCGAGCATCTCCGTCTTTGGATTTTTGTCATTGAAACATGCAGAAAGTTTGGTTATTCACATAAGTCCACCTGATCAACACGGTGACTCTATAAAATCCACTCAACTGTTATTAAGTAGATTACTTAACTTCTCGTCGACTTGTGTTATGTACTGGTCGAGAATTTAATAGTCCTGACGCAAGAAAGACGGAAATCAGAAGACCACTAGGTTTGCGATGATACTTCTATTTTCCAAAACACCAGGAGAATCAATGTCACACAAGAGTGTGAGAGCAAAATTATATATAAATGTCCGAAAGTGTGTGAACACAAGTGTGTGAGCGAATATTCAAAATGAACAAATCAATAGACAGTCTTAAAATGATTGGCTAATTATAATGGAATATCGATCCATATATACATAGCAAAATATATCAGACTGTCAAACAAACACACATATTATATGGATATATATCTACTTGTTAGTGTAACGATTGCATAAAACTCAGTACTTGATTAGCTCCCGGTGGGTAGCCGTCAGTGTCTTGTCCAACTGAGATGAATCTGTAAAAGTAAGGCGAAGCAGTAAAAGTCATCGACGCCGTTTGGTAATCTCCAAATGAATACACCCTGGATAAAGTGGAAGAATGGCTTTCATCAGAAGTTATCCGTTTTACTGGTAAAAGAAAGACATTCACATACCATTATCTTAGGTGATTTTAATACTCAAAGAGGTAAGTTTGGACTAGTCCGAAAAGTATGTTGGATGTATCTATGTAGTCCCATGCCGAGAAGCCCAAGACGGTGATCGTCCTTTACACTTCTGATTCGACTACCACGTTACCGTTACGTTAAACTATCATTCCACCTCTTTTTTCCTGGATTGAAATACACCCAACTATTTTAATAATATTAAATCGTCTAAACACGTTAATTAATCTCTTTCTGCTTGGATAGATTCTAATGTGATTATTTCTTCTGACTGCATACTCAATTTCACATATACTGAACATTATTCAAAACTCTTACCTGCTATCATAGAACTTTGATCACAGTGCTCGTTTCGCATTCACCTTAACGCCGCCTATTATAGTTATTCACCTCAATTTGACAATATACTTTTACACTACACATGCTGACGTATTCACTTTGAACTTTATTCCAACAGCAGTCGGACTTAAAGATAGTTGTACTTTCAGAAAAGTAGACGATGGTTATTTGCCCTAACGATCTACTGTTAATATACAATGTTTTATTACGTAACTAATATTGATATATAACAGTAGAGACTGAGGAATTTATTGAAAGAATATTCTTTGTTCACTAATTGCATTAAGCAAGAATGCTGATTGCATGTAACCTGACTACTGAACTACACTTCAGGAATACTCCTTTTATTTCGGCGATTCAGATGAATACCAGAGTAGAAATGAACACATTAATGATGTTATGATATATTTCCTTTATCTTGTATCACATATACGCACTATGGTTAAGATCGAGCCCAAACCACTGTTTGTCATTAGCAACTAAAACAATTATTCTCAAACAGACCACTAGTGAATATGACTCAAGTTGTAATGTAAACAATTGTGACATTTATCAGAAATTTACAAGCCCTTAGTTTTCAACTCACATATTTAGACACGGATGCTTATAATTACATCATGAAAGTATAAGTGATGACCAATGCCAAGAGGAATAGTAGTACAGAGTTCCAATGCAAAAATTATTCAATTAAGCAATTGCTTACTGATACACAAATTAGTCTGTTTATTTAAGTCAACTAATAAATATGTTCTTGTCACACAAACAATAGGTAATATCCAGAAAGAGGATAAAAGCGCAAGCCCGTACATCAAAAAATAGTATCACTCATACACTTCCATTGTCTGTAGAACCTTCAGCTTTAGTATAAAGAATTCTTGTACACGCTATTTGTTGTAATGTACAAACAGAATCTTCTAAATCTGTTGAGTCGTCACTAGTGGAATCTGTTGACTTCTCAGAATCTGAGTCTGAATCTGAATAGTCGCTCAATCCTGGTAGTACGTCAAGAGATCCACTCAATTGCTTAGACATACTACGATAAGTTGATTCATCCGCATACACTTTTGCCAAAGGATCGATTGGATACTTTTCATTTGAAGCTGTGGGGTGAAAAAAAATTGGATTTTAGAGTAAACACCATAAAATTGATAAATCACTTTCAATTCATACAAAATTAACTTGAAAATAGTTTAAATATGTGACTGACAGAAATAGACTAACTATTCAATGAAGATGTGTATCAATGTTTTTAGTACTTGACTTTCGAACAGCGGTTCTTGAGTTCAAAGTCCGCCTTACCTACTTCCTCTTCGACAATTAGGTAGCATCATTAATTCCTACACAATTAGTCCGACTTATGATATAAGACATTCAGTTCCCACTCTGTAATTATGACTGACAACTCCCACCAATGGAATATATTTGTACAACTGTGCTCAGATAGATATTTATTCTCAAACTGCAATTTCGGAAGAAACACTGTTTAGTCAGCTTCGTAGTGAACATGGATAGATTATGTAGATATCATTTAGCAGTGCAGAAGATTCGTGAAGAATTATCAGTATTTGTCGAGTATGTGCTTTAGCTACAGACTACCTTGTATATGAGTACATTCTAATAGACATAATTCCGAACTTGGAAGACTTTTCTTAGTTAGTCTAGACAATAAGCAAATATATGTTACGTTTGGAAGTAGACAGAAAGTTAACAGATTAAGAAATGGTTACCCGATTGTAAAGAAGACTGATACTATTTCCTAAATGCAGTATAATCGGTGACAAGTACTGTTATGACATGACGAATTGTTATGCAGAAGACGTCCTTTAATGGGACACCAAATGACATAACGAAATTAATACAAGTTAGCAAATGCTAAACGAGCCCATCGTATCCAATGATAAGATTTTTCCAACAACCAGTTCACTGGGGGTGGAGCAAACCCTGAAATAAGTAGAGTGTTCAATGTATTTAACAAACTTATTTCCCATCTTTGAAATAATAGTAGATGAAGTTCAGTTTTATATCATTACCCTACATTTAACACGAGTAGGTTGCACGATATTTAGAGTCAGATATTTGTCCAAGGTGTTCAGTCCTAAGGACTTTGTAGTATACGGACTCTACATAAACGAGAATTTCTTCTAGTAGTAAGTCGACTGACATTACATTGAAGTCAACCAGTGAAATCCACCAGCACATCTACGATAAGATTGAATCACAACGATGACACTAAGCATTTGTGACCTAAACGACAGCTCTCCTTAAGACTCTACACTGCTGAACAAGTTCGAGTAACCCCCAAGTTAGCACAGTATAGTTAAGGTGGCCAGAAGGAATTCGCAAAAAGAGCCAGTCGGCAGCTTATTTACAAAAAAGGGGACTAGATCGCATAATTTGAATAACCTCCATCAAAATTTAATTATTTCCCTACTAACATGGTGCTTATTTTGCTTGCAGCTTATGAGGAAGCCGTAAGTCACCTTAAACGTAGTATAAACTCAATTTCCCTAAACAACGCCGAACAATGATGAAAACCAAATAAAATGCTTATCTACTTACCAGATGTCCTTGTATTTGCTCGCTTTGACTGTGGGCCAACTATATCCAAGCTACTGCAATAGCCAGAAGTATAAAATTATACAAAACTACTTACGAAGTCCGTTTAACAGCACTAGCCATGAGAGCTCGTTGACTTGAACCTCCTTTATTATAAAAAGACTTTGTGCTCAAACCAGATATAGTATTTGTAGACGAAACATGGACTGGTCGATTTGCCTGAATATTTACTTTAAGTCAAGAAACTAGCGAAAATAGGATCACAAAGGTGAAGTATGTAGGGAAATTTAAAATTAGAATGTAGCAAGCTCATTAAAAAGGATACTTTTGCTTCTTTTACTAATTCGGCGATTTCTTTCTCCTTTTCCAAATCGGCTTTGTGCTGTTTAGCAGATAACGTTTGTAGATATTCGACTTCATCCTCATCCAGACGATGAATACGGTTTTTCAGAGCATTAGTTGCTTCATACTCCTCTTGCTTTCTGTCCTTTTCAGCCTAAAAGTTTTTAAATTAACTGGATTTCAGTTAGTAAGCCCGTGTATACACTATTTTGTTGTATAACGTACACTGTTAAGTAATAATAATACTTTAGGACGGACACGTTAGCTACAAATTACACAGGACAAATGTTCAGTTTGTCTCATGATCATGCCTCAGAACTGAAACTAGTAAGGATGTACTTATTGATTCACAGTGCAGCCACATGCATATCCATTGTTGGCGAAATACATAGCTATGAAGCCTTATTATGATTTCCTTTGGTAATATTTGAACTGCTTGATAATGTACGTGTTGGTGAGATTGACAGAGGAATAACTGCAAAGAATTTACTACTACTAGTTGGTGCACGTGCTTTCCGACTACTCTTACTGGTCAATCGCATAAACTGTGTTATCATTTCTCAAACATTTTCTAACGAGGTAAATCTTGTTTAGTCTTCAACTCTTAGATACTTCAAGAATTTGTGTCTAGTCGCATCAATGAATCCTTTGCTCACTTATTTTTGCATTAGAGTCCAAACAGACTATAGATAAACGCTGTTACTTCATACCTTTTCTAAGCAGGAGCACTATATGATTAACTCCATCGTTTTGTGACCTAATTACTCCATGTGCTAAGTATACTGACTAAATGTGTAATTGTAGTAGAGTGGTTCCGTAACTGCTATACTTAGCTCCGAATTAATACATTCTATATTTACACGAGGTAATGTGATAAATTTGCATACACTAAGTTATTTTCTTTATTTCACTATGATCCCTATACCAGACCTATATATGAAAATAAAGTAGCGCCAGGAATAGGACTGTTAGGAAATAAAGAGGGGTGACTAAACAAAACGCGATACGAATCCATCTCATAAGGAGGTGTAATTTGTATACCTCGTGTCCCAGTGACGCCTAGAATGTATAATAAAAGGCTGAGAGTAATATGATTTGTAAGGTCTTCATATTTTTATTTTTCATATCTCCAACTTAATGTACAAAATGTAGCGACGGAACAATCGTGCAGTACCATCACGTCTCATGTTAAAAACTTTATCGTGAAATGGAACCACCGTTAAATAAGTAATCTTAACGATATATCTAGACGTGTAAATGAAGATTTGTTAATAAGGTCGTAAAAGACAAGTGTAATGAAGTAAAACTTACAGGAAATGAAGAGTTAGTGTTTCTATACTATATAACCTGGAGACCTCCATCACCAAATCAACGCTGGACTCAGATAGACCACATAGCCATAGGGTATCGTTGGTGAGGGTCAGTAGAAGACTGCCGCTCTTATTGGAACACGTGAGTAGACTCTGATCACGCTCTGGTCCGCGCACGTTTATGCTTACGACTAAACGGACATAAGAAACTGACGGCAGAGAAACAATTACATCCCCAACTAGATCGAGACACTGAGTCCCTGTGCGTCGGTGGCACAGTGGTTAGGACTCTCGCCAACCATGCACATGGTCCGGGGTTCGAGCCCACGCCGGCGCATACCTGATATCTATGGTCGGCCTGCAAAATTTGGGCTACCGATATCCATGCTGAAAATTCCATACTTGTACCAAAAATACAGTGTGGAATCAAGCTGTAAATCAAAAAAAATCAAAAAAAAATTAAGGAAGAAATAGCTAAACGAGTGTCTGAGGTCGACAGCAGGACTTCCTCTGAGGTAGCCTGGCTGGCACAACATACAGTTAGCTGTAGACACAGCTGTAAAAGCTGTCAATAAGCTAAAACCAAAAGTTAGTAAGAGCCATTCGATCTCCACCGCCTCATCCGAACTGATTGACGCATCAAGAGTGATTCCGGCGACCTCCGATTATGATTAGGAGTGAAAGCTACTCAAACGAAAACTAACAAGAAGTCTTCGAAACGACCGTGAACAGCGGTGGGTGACAAAGGCGAAAGAGATGGAAAAGGCTTCGGCGATTGGTAACACCAGACAACCATTTAGGCTTATCAAGGAAACAGGTGGTAAAAGGCAAATGATAAGTAAAACAACCTCGGAGAAAAATGGTACTATAATTAGCTCCCAGGATAGACGACTGGAACGCTGGAAAGAGCAATATGAGGAGCAGTTTAATTGGCCTACAGCCACACTCAATTTACCGAACATCCAACACCTCCCTGAATAGGATATAGACACAGGTCGCCCTTCCTTAACTGAGCTTACTAAATCTGTCACCAATTTGAAACAAGGCAAAGCAGCGGGACCTGATGGAATGACTCCAGAGGTATTTAAGTACGGTGGAGACAGTCTACTGTCTGCATTAACTGAGGTACTAGTAAGCGTCTGGGAATCAGAAGAAGTCCCATTGGGTAGGTGTAAGTCACTGATTATCCCCATATACAAGAAGGGAGACAAGTGTTCCTGTGATAATCACAGAGGGATTAGCTTAACTAATATAGTATCTAAAGTCCTAGACTCAATAATATTGCGAAGACTAAATGGTGCTAGGGAGGCACAAACACGAGGGGACCAGGCAGGCTTTAGACCAGGAAGAGGGTGTATTGATCGTATCTTCACCCTCCGACAGATTCTAGAACATAGGAATTCCTACCAGCGTCCAACAGTCATTATGTTTCTTGACCTAAGGGCGGAATTCGACTCTGTCGACCGAGAGGTACTCACTCTGGAGATGCTTGGCTGTAAAGGGTATGCCGAGAAAATACATTGCACTGATTAAGGCACTCTACTCGTACTTAGGTGAGGGCTTATGGCAAGTTGTCATCTGAACTGATGACGACTAGCGGTGTCCGTCAAGGATGCCCATTATACCCTTTTCTATTCAACTTCATCATAGATGTACTAATGGACTTAACCCTAAGTGACTTCAGCGACTCAGGGATTGACTTGCTACCAGGGAATGATCTCGTTGACTTAGAATATGCAGGCGATATAGTCCTTCTAGGCGAAGACGCTGACAAAATGCAGAGTCCTCTAAACACCTTGAGCCGCAATCTACGAATGTTTGGCATGCGATTCACTCTCGCCAAATGCAAGATGATGTTACACGACTGGACTACATCAACACCTAGTTTATAAATAGGAAGTGAATTGGTAGAGCACGTTGACCGCTTCACTTATTTAGGAAGTACCATCAGCCAACGAAATCTCAGCTGAGTACGGATACAAAGGGTTGGTTTCGCACATGCCAGTTTATGCCGTCTGTGGTGTAGATGTGATATCCTGTTGGCTATCGATGGAAGGGCATGTATACTGCTCAACACTCCGCTCCGTCCTCCTTTATAGCTGTGAGCTAGACATGGCCATTGAAAGTGGAAGACATGAAAAGCCTGACCAGCTGTCTTTGATCATAGGTGTCTGCATCCTATGCCCCTTGTTAAGTGGTATAATAAGGTGAGTAATATTGAGGTTAGGCTTCGGTCGAGTGCTAGATAAGGAGAGGAAATCAGCTGACGGGGCTGTGAAATTACATCGATTGAGATGGTTAGTACATGTGTTACGCATGCCTACCCATCGCCTTCCTCGACAATGGGCAATGTGAACTGACATAGGATCAAACTGGAAAAGAGCCACTGGTGGTCAAACCAAAACATGACCTCATCAGTCAATGTAATCCACAACATTTACTTTAATCTACGTAGGAAGATGTAGACTTTCTGGTTGGGGTCCTCGGGACGGTAAAAACCAATGGTTGGAAACAATTGGTGATATGGCTCAAAATCGTTCTCAATGGCACAGATGCATCCACTCCTTGTGACCTATGATTTCCAATGAAACTACATTGTTCTTCGTTACTTATATTTCTTTGCCGCACACCGGTGCAAAGTTCTATGTCGAAAACAGACAGACAGACATTTTGATTTGACACTAGTAACTAGTGTGATGCGTCTAGTCCTCTGATTGGTGTAGGCTGAATTCTATCAGTCAGGTTGTAATGTGACCACTATTCTAGCTAGCTCGCCATCACGGTGCACATCACTGACTGCAGCACTGGGTGACGAGGGTCCGAATCTCAGAAGGGACATGAGTTCCTTCAAGGTTGCAGATACGCCTTGCTGACGAGTGCCAACTAGCACGAAACCTAGGTCCAAGGCTTCCTGCCGATTGCCTCCAACCATCTAAGACAGACAGACAGACAGACAGATACTATGTATCGGCGGACATGGGAAGGAGGAAGACAGAAGCAGAGCTCATAATGCAGGTCTTTAGTGTCTGGAATTCTCCTAAATAACAACTGCTGACTCACTATGGTATTTCAGTTAGAACAGTTACCTGGAATAGATTTTTTGTGTAAACCTTGGACACAGTACCTGGAACCTGAGTGAATAGGCTACTCTAGTTCTCACGAATGTCCAACATTACGAAAGTCTGATATGTAACACGAGTAAGTAATAGGCCGATATACAAGTGTCAAATGGAAGCTATTGGAAACAATAGTTAGCAACAGAATGTATCACCAGTATATTAATAAAATAGAAACAAATGATAACTGACTACATAATGTAAGAACATTAAAGATATCTTGCCTTATATATGTCCAAACCAGATTCACTTTTAACAGTTTGAAAAAATTTAGGCATTGAGTATATGATATTCATCATAAAGCTTTCTTGTATTTCTCAATGAATGGGAAACAAAACGATACAAATGTCTTGCCTCTTAAAATAATCAACAATCTAATCTTCATAACACCCAAGATTCTTGAACCGTTGACTTGGAATATGCAGATGATATAGTCTTACCTCCTAGGTGAAGACGCTAACAAAATGCAGTCTTCTCAACACCTTGAGCTGAACAGCAATCTTCGAATATTTAGCACGCGATTCTCTCCCATCAAATCCAAGATGATGCTACAGGACTGGACCACATCAACTACTCAGGTTGGAAAAGAGCCAGTGGTGGCCAAACAAAAACATGGCATCAATCCATGAAATCCTTGACAGTTAAACTGAGTCAGGTAGGGAGATGCAGACTCCCGGGTTGGGACCCTCGGGACTGGCTCTACGAATCAATGGCTGGAGACAATAGGTGACATGGCTCAAAATCGTTGTCAATGGCCAGCGCAGATGTATTCAGTCTCTGTAATCTTTCATATTCCTTTCTACCATTACCCATTCCGTTTCACTCTTATACTTGTCAGACTGTATTGATTCTCTTCATTCATCTTCTTGTCTACCTCTGTGTGCTATTTGGAACGTGGCAACTCGAACAGCTGCACTTCGGTGCCAAGTTCTATGTTGAATCCAGACAGACAGACAGACTCCTAGCTTTAGGAGATAGGGAGTGAAGTGGTGGCTGAGTGTATTGACCACTTCACTGATTTTGGGAGTTGCATCAGCCAGTGTCAATGGGTTAACCGTTGACGAAATCTCAGAACGGATACAGAAAGCTCGTTTCGCATATGCCCGCCACTTTACACCATCTCTGGTTCAGACGTGATTTCCGGCTGGCTACCCACCAAAGGGAGTGTGCACTGCTCAGTCGTTCGCTCCGTACCGTACTAACCGAACACTAATATCCAGAATATTGGCTATAGGTTGTGAACCAGCTAAACTAGTTTTATAAATGACCGGTCTAGTATTTTAGGTGTCCTATTAAGTTGTTAGTCGGTGTGCCATCTGCCTCAAATACCATTTCATAAATATCGAAATGCTGGCGGTCGAACAATAACTCATCCTTCAAACAAAAAATGAAGCTATATGTCAGTGAAAAACTAACTCAACTAATCTAAACACTCACTCAAACTGGTGCACTCACTAAACATCTTACTTACTTACTTTACTTCGGCTATCTCCTACGGGAGGATGAGCCGGCTTCATGAACGTCTCGAATCATCGCTGCCCAGGCGCGGCAATTTGTAAGAGAGTTCATGAAGTTTCATGGGAATACGGTACGAGTGATGTCCCCAGCATCGCTCGGCCTTTTGTTTGAGAGTGCGGCTCTAGCCTTTACACAGCCAAGTGTGACCTACAAGGCAGTAGGAGTGGAGTAAGGAGTCCACTATCCATTGGCAGCCGGTGACCGGAGTTCGGTTCATACGCATTTTTGAATGGGGCCAGACATCCAGGACATCCAACAAGCCCTTTGTCCATACGTCTGCCGGTGAGCTCCAGTGAGCTTCATACGCCAGTCGTTGGAGGTTTGGAATCAGGGTTTAGCCATCTCCCCTAGACTGTCATCCAATGGACATCTACCTGATCAATACTCCGGTAAACCTCATTGTTGATGCACACTGTATTTCAGGGATCTCTATAAAACATACCAAGATAATTCTTTTGAATACAACCATCTAAAGGCCCGAGCAGTATTTCATGTGCGCATCATCGTCCGACTTATCTGTTGTTGGTGTCGCATCAAGTGCTAAAGACAAAATTGCAGGTGGTTTGAATGAGCTGCCACATCTCCCGACTTTTGCCGGTTGCTTTTCACTTTGGCATAACTTTGCAGCCTAAACAACTGTAAATAGAAATTAAGTCCAGTAATTTGACTTCAGAAACCAAAGCATACCGTCTTGATGATGCCAATGCAGCGCCAAGCACTAGAGCTGATTCTAAATTCAACTAGATCACCACTGACACTTGTTCACATATATGTAGGCAGTTGCCATGTTGACCCGACCTCTGTCAATGTATTGAGACGCTTTGGGTTGATTTCATGAGTCTACGAAGCATAGCTGTTCAAGACGTCATTGTGCAAACCCTAAATAGAACGCGAACTTTCTAGAGTTCTTTTACTTCTGTACTACCAGAAGAATTACGAATTAATGAATGATATGACAAACACAATATGAGGACTGTAACGCAGAATAAACCTTATGTGACTTCCTGAAACTAATCATGAACAAGTGTGCGGGTCAATGTTTTAATCTCTAAATACGAGGTAGAAAGTATCTGCATGCATACACACTTTGCTCAAACATCCAAATTAATAGACATATACACAGATTTATTTGCCTAGGGTACGTCGTTAAAATAACTTTAGAAAAGGTATTATAAAAACGTCTAGTTGCGTTCGTAATTATATTACGTTTCACAATGAATGGTTTTGTAATACTTGATCAGGCAGATAGACTCGCTAGGGTCTGTTGGTGAAAAATATTTGAAATTCTGAATTTTTGATTATGAAATAAACAATATCCTTCTTGAAGAAATAGCCACAGATGACACACAGAGTATCTTAAATGCATATTTTGTAGGACATTCTAATTACTGAAATTAATTCTGACGAGTAATGAAGGTGGGCATGGCTTCACAATCGGCTGTACAATACACTGAATCTATAAGTGTGAAAACTCCAAATCAATACGCTACAGCTAATCGCATTTTATTCTGCACCAGGCACGTACATGAGGATGTAAGGTAATAATCCATAGTAATAGCGCCCCGGGATATGCCGCGTGTTCTGTCCAGACGTTCTCGTGTTTACGAAAGCATTCCCCTACAAGGGAGTCAACATAAGTGGCAGCCTAAGAACTATTTTCCAGTCTTGGGCGGGTGTGTTCAGAAAAGATAAAAAAAATTGTTTTAAGATCTACCACGACTCTTATTCCTAGGATAAAAAGCTATCAGAAAGAAAAGGAACAATAATCAAAAACGTTCAAATCTGATTAACAAATGATGGACATACCTGCAGTCTTTCATATAGGGACCTAGCATCGTATGGAGCTTCGACTATACCTTCATCCTCCTGAATCTTTTTTCGGGCTTCGACGTCGACCTCAGATATAAACTTCGGCATTTCAACCGAATGTTATGTAGAACAGTGTGTGGAGAGTAAGACTAAAAATCGCGCTGGTTTGTGCTCGATAGACTGACTGTGATTGGATAGTATTTTCGGAGGCATTATTCATCTTTATTTGACAGTATCGTGGACTGGTCAAGTATTTTATCATTTTTGCATTGTGATGTGTTTTGTAGCTGATGCTACTGCTGCTCCGCTAACAGCTGATATTTACCCAAGGATACTATTAACAATCCACCGCTACTACTTTAAAAAATATATTTGCTCACTTCTAGGCTGTAAAGTGAAGGTTCTTAGTCTCTGGCTAGCATTTGCGTAGTTCTTTCCGCCATTTGGCCGTCTAAGCATTGGTCGATTCCGAACGAAGTGTTGCTGGGAGTGATTATATGTGGTTTTTAGTATGTGGTGTGTCAGGACAGTAAGGCTATTGTGAATGTAGTTGATCTCTTCGCCTTTTATTCGTCCAGTAGGGTCGGAAAAAAAGCAGGTGTCATCAAAGTGGACTATGTGGATAATGGAAAAGGAAATATGTATATGGATACTGCTATTGAAATTTTATGTATACATATCTATATATCCACGATAACCTAAGGTAATTAGTAGATTCAGTAGTCATAAAAGTCAGACAGAGGAGAATGGGAAGTAATGAAAGGATGATTTCGGGTGTATACCCACTAGTAGTCTGTGGGTTTCAGGGATATAGGCCATTTGGTTTCAGTCACTGTTTCTCTGCATAATTTTCCAGTCGCAGCTGAAGACTTCCCACGGACACATAGTCTGCTCGTAAAGAATTTCGAGTCTTTACTCTCTAGTGCGCTATCAACCCCGGATTGCTGCGAGGGAGCCCACATGTATCCAGTGACATAATACCTTTGTTTGAGTGTCTCTGGTTACTTGTAGTCGCACAAGCAGTAGTTAAGCCATCCCTGAGCCGACGGTAGCTAATTATGAAAAGGCGTAATTTGTCCGGTCACTCGTCATTTGGTTGATATTGGACACCCGTCACCATTTCTTCCACCATCTCTGAACTGTTTTCAAAAGGTTATTGTCCCTTCTGAGTAATGGGGGCAGCGGTGTCATGATTTGGTCTAAATTACGTTTTGTACAACCTTACAAAAGCTCAGGAATGAATACACCTGACTGTCTATGCGTTAAGTGTATAACCACATATACCCTCCTTGTATCAACCGCGTGATTCACACCTGTGTCCGTTTTCTCGCTGGAACTACGCCCTACTCGCGCTATTATACCGCACAGGACTAGTTATCATGGCACAGGGAGTTACTTAGATTATGCAACCTGCAGATGCATAGCTGCACTACTCCGCTTTTTCTCAGGTTGAAAGTCATATTTAACAATTGACAACTGATAACTGTGATACTACAACATACCATACAATTTTGCTTTAATATGGCGGATATTTCATACTGTTGACACAGTTGCCATTGTTCTGCTGATACTCCAGCGGTAAGAATGGAATGATGTGGTGGTAATTAACAGTGTCAATTGTCATGGGATCTGTGTATGATTGGGACTTGTATCAGGACTTGATTAGATACTCTAATTGGGATTCCTACTTTACCAATGACTCCTTAGAGGAAGTCCTTAAAAACTTCTATGACAATATACAGTCGGTTAATGATGTCATAGCGCCTGTGAAACTGATTAAATTCAAAATCCCTCAAGGTGATTTTATTCCAATATCATTAAGAAGAAGTTTGCGGAAGCATTCATTAAGTTACTATAGACATGACGACTTATCGTCGTTAATCGCTATCAAAACAATCCTCATTAGAATCCATGAGTTAAAAAATCTAAGTCTTAGGAATAAAGAAACGCGGGCAATTCAGTCGCCACATAACACTGGAGAAATAGCCAAACTCTTCAAAAGTAGGTTAACTAACTCCAAATCAACATATCCAAAAATAATACACCTAGGTGGCATTACTCACGAAAGTGCTGAGGATATATGTGAGGTGTTTAGCACGCACTTTGCCAAACTGTACACTCTAGAAAATGACCAGGATATAGATTTCCCTCGTAAAACAGAAAAGTGTCTAAGCGATGTAGTCTTAAACGCCCAAGAAATCGATAAAGCTATCACAACTCTTAAGCTTACTAATACTCCCGGCCCAGATGGAATGTCTTCCGTCCTCTTAAAAAATGGTGGAAATGACATGAATCTACTTCTTCTCAAGATATTTTCAACTTCGATAAGGAGTGGAACATATCCAAATAGCTGGAAGAAATCCTACGTTGTACCCATTCACAAAACCGGACCTACAGCGGACATAGATAATTACCGCCCCATCAACATTACTTCCGTAGTTTCACGTGTGATGGAAAAGATTGTAAAGAAGCAAATTGTTCAGTATTTGCTCTCGAATGACTTAATATCCCCTTTCCAATACGGTTTCCTAAATAGAAGATCGTGCATTACGTGCCAGTTAGATTATTTCGATCACATTACTGAATGTGTAGACAAAGGTCGTTCGGCAGCAACATTATTTCTAGATGTTAGGAAAGCTTTTGATAAAGTCCCACATAAAAGACTCATACTGAAACTCCTATCTTATGGAATAAGTGGAAGGCTTCTTGAGTGGATAACTTCCTTTCTTACAGGAAGAGAACAGTTAGTTAAAGTCAACCATCACTTATCAACATCCAAACCGATAACCAGCGGCGTGATACAAGGTAGTGTTCTTGGCCCTACCCTATTCATTGTATTCATAAATGATATTGTCTCTATGATCAAGTATGGCAAGCCATACCTCTTTGCAGATGACCTCAAAGTTGTCTATGATTTTGACTATAATGATATGAATATTGTTAGTAAAATCCAAGAAGACCTAAATAGTCTATGTAATTGGAGTGAAAAGTGGCAGTTAACGTTCAATCCAGCTAAGTCTGGGATAACATACTTCGGACGTTGGAAACCTAGCATGTGTCTATACATGTACGGTGACCTTGTCTCAAACACAAACACAGTCACAGATCTCGGGATAACATACTCAGATCTTACCTTTACTGAACATGCAAATAAGGTGGTATCTGATTGTAAACGTCTAACCGGCTTTGTGCTACGCAACTTTTACACTCCAGAAGCCAGATTAGCCATATATAAGATATGCATTCGCCCCAAACTTGAATACTGTGCCCACTTATACAGTAGCTTTAAATCAGCAGACAGAAAAAAGTTGAAAGTGTCCAAAGATTCCTT